AAAAAAAAAAAAAAAAAAAAAAAAAAAAAACGAGAGAGTAATTTAAAGTATACGGCGTAATATCTATGGTAAATGGCTTATCCAAGGTATGCGCGGTGAAGGAACAAGGAGGTGTCGTCGTTGAATGGAATTCGGAAGGAAGATGGCTTTGTTCGAACAGCTAGAGCAATTTTCCCTATTTACAGATTCCCGATGCTTCAAATATTCAGGCTCGATTGATTCCTTGAGCCGTTGCTATTTCATTCTTGAACATACCGGTGTTTCGATCCTCTACCCTCCTCCTTTTTTTTCTTCTCTTTTATCCCGCCAGATCTTTGTTCCGTTAAGCGATTTTATCGATTACACGTCACGCGTAACGTTTTAAACGATTGTTTCCCGATATCGATAGAATTTTGTTATTTTAACCAACTTCTCACTGTATGATACCATCAATCGCGAGAGATTTCTTTTTATTTGTAAATATATATAGAAACTATTATTTTGGAAATGGAAACAATTTTGGAACTATTTTGAAGAATTATTTTGAATTATAATGTGTGTATATACATATAAAATATAATTCTGTATACTTATATAGATAGTTTTTTTAGTTTAATTATAATAAATATATATATATATACATAGAAACTATTATTGTGGAAATATATATATATATATATATACAAATATACATAGAAATTATTATTGTGGAAATAGAAAGAAAAAAAATGTATCGCCCGAACTTGATGAATTTTTATTTCTCCTCCTAAGTAAGTTGGTTTATGTACGTACATTGTACGGATATTCGTGGGCGTTAACTCTCGCTGCGCCGCGCAATTTAGCGTTTCAACAACGGTATAATCGCGTTAAAAGTCGAGGACGAACTCGGGACGAGGCGGTAATCGGCCGTTCTATCCGATAACGAGTTCCGTCCAACTTTGCGACTGCGTAGACAGCCAAGAAATAGAATGAACGAGTGGCTACGAACCTACGGGGAAGAAGGAACGAAAACCTTAAGAGAATTCTTAATTAAAAGTCTAATTTTAATCTGATATTCGTAGTTCAATTCACGTTATCTTATTTATCAAATGATTCTTTCCGATGCAAGACGAGCGAGATAAATCTACGAACAACGTATCGTTCAGACCATCCATAAAATGTGAATATAGAAATTCGAGCAAGTAGAATCAGAGAATTTTCTGTCTAAAACTGAATGACTCTAACGATTTTAACTTGTACTCTAATGTAAACTGTATGTCGTTGCTGAATTCTATTTTACTTCTAATTCGATCTAATCTAAAACTGTCGCGGCCAATCGTTATTTTTGTGAAAATAAAAAAAAAAAACTTAAAAGGAGATCAAATGGACCAATAGTCGCGTTCGAGAGCAGTGATAGGGAAAATTTAATAGTTGAAGTTACTTTATCGTTCAAAACATAATAATAATTGTAGTAGTTGAAGTAATTTTATTCGAAATTTTTTATTTTTTCAACTTAGAGTTAATGTCCAATTCTGCAGAATCGCGTGAAGATCAAGATTAAAGTTAAAAAAGTAATTGATTAAAAATTTCGAATAAAATTATTTCAAGTAATCACTTATTAAAATGCTCGAATAATCATTTATTCGTTTGACAGTATAATTATTCGCGAATATTATTATATTTTGAATAATAAGTTATCGAAGTAATTTTGACTATTAAATTTTTCACATCACTAGTCAACAACTTTACGCTCGCTTGTGAAGTGAATAGCTATTGCTGTTATATCTCTGTTAAATCGAGGATCTGGAAAGCGAAAATATTCGAGCTATTGAAAATAAAATCTTACCAAGCTTCGCACAGGCTTTGGACCTGTCCTCGATGCTTTCTTTATTATTAATCACTGAGAAAATTTTATTCTTACGGATAATTGAATCAATATTTCACGAAGTTCAAGTTATGATTAACGTAATACAAATATAATCTAAACTTTATAATCTAGAATCTTTTCCCCACAAAAAACACTTATATCGTCGAATTCTTTTTCTTTTCATACACAAAAATGAAACGGGAGCGATTTATAAATCATGCTTTATAAATCGATTTTAATAATTAAAATTATTCGATTTTTCTTAATGAAAAGATATAAACGCTTCTTTCGAGGAAAGAAAATTCCACAAAAGAGGGTCCCTCTACGTTGTAAATAAGAGAAAGGGATCCTTTCCAGTAGAAACGCCTCTCCTCTCGTCAAGAGATGTTTGTCCATGGATTCGAGCACGAGTTGAACCGGAATCAGGGAAACAATCGCACGGTTCCATGTAACGTAACACGTGCCGGGTGCACTCTCACTGAAATCTGTTTCCCCTCTTATTTCCTCCCTGCCTTCTCCTTTTCTTTCGATTGTCCCAGAGGCGGAAACGTGAGGACAGAGCAGAACACATTCTACCTTCTCTCCTCTGTACTTGGAAGGGAAGAGGTAATTCCTTGAGAGCAAACATCAGTATCATCCAATCACTTCTTCGGATCCAATCATTTTCAGTAAATGTAACCGAATTTGCTTATTATTTGAAAAGTAATTTCGTTTTTTTTCATGGCAATGAAACACCAAGTCGTTTCACGCGATCATGAATAGTCGAATTCGACAAATTCAATCTCAACATTTTTCTCGAGTTGTTCGTTAGTTTGTTTTGATCGGTTTATTTTGTCTTTATCAGCTTCGACTGGTCTTTTCAGAATGGCGCATCTTTAACGTCGAAATTGTCGGAATGAAATTTTGAAAACTACTTTTTGACACTGGTGTACAGTTAATGCACCTTTTCCACGATTTCGCATAACTTTTTTTCTGCTTGAATAGCATTCTCACCTCTTAGGTAATAAAAAATGCTCCTTTTGATTTCACATCTTTATTATCACGCACGAAAAATACAACCGCACAGAATCGAACGAATTTTTCTTATAAATAAATCATGAATGCCAACTCTCAAAATATGAGATAACAACACGGTTTAGAACGAAGTTGGTTGGATAAACGTTCGACTAGTGATGCTCCTTTGAAGAAACGAAATTACTTTCCGAACAACACGGTTTAGAACGAAGTTGATTGGATAAACGTTCAACTAGTAATACTCGTGTGAAGAAACGAAATTATTTTCCGAACACCATGGCCTAGAACGAAGTTAGCTGAATAAACGTTCGACTAGCGACACTCGTGTGAAGAAACGAAATTATTTTCCGAACATCACGGTTTAGAACGAAGTTGGCTGGATAAAGTTCGACTAGCGACACTCGTGTGAAGAAACGAAATTACTTTCAGAATAACATTAAACAACGTAAAGGATAAAAGTGTAACGGTTTTAGCGCGATAATTAACATCGTTAACAACGTTTATAGGTGGCAGTTTCACATTTTTGACAGTTCACATTTTTGTGGAAATAGATACAGATATTAATGTCACGCGTTTTAAACGCGAAATAGAAGAACGAAAACGAAATTGTCACTGAACGCGTTTTATATAGCTCTTTTTTTATATTTACTGCCGATTGTTTCTATCGTTCTTCGCGCACTGTTCGGTTAATCGTGTTAAGCAATCGTGGAAAAAAACGTGGAGACAGAGGTATATACACGCAGCATAGAACAGTGGAAAATTGGAGGTGTATGTCCGGCGGATAGAGAGGATCGAATTTTGAGAAAATTTCGAGAGCAATAATATGGAAATAAACTAGTATGTAAGTAACTAGAATAAAGTGTTCGGTTTTTTATTTTAATAATTTAATCGCGTTTATATTTCGAAATTTTTAATAAAATCTCTATAAACGAGGAAAACGAGGAGAAATTGTAATAATTTTGTTGTTTCGTAATAATAATTTAAAACTTTCATCATGTGACGTGATGATGCGCGATTTGTTAGATTAAACGAGCTATTTAGCATAATGATGGCAGGTGTTAATGTATAATCGATAACGGGGAACGAGTCGCAAGATATTCAATATCGAAAGATATTAATCAATTGACCGGGATAGTGCTTAATTTGCTGTATCGATAAGGGATATCTTCTTGTTAATAATTTCAATAATTAAAATTTCTAGCCGTATTCCAATCCGTAATCGTTTATAACATATAACGATTCTTTATCATGTGAGAATTATTACAGCAAAATTTATCATTCGACATATTAATAAATAATAATCCATACTGCATTAATTGATCATAATTTTCATCTAACTGAACGTTTTGCAAGGATGTGAATAGATATATGGCACGTGTGTGTGTGTGTATGCATGCAATTGTATTTAAATAATTTGTAACATTTTGATTGAACGTGTAATCGATTATTTGTTTTTTTTTTATATATATTATATCTTACAATTTAATTAAAACGGATTGATTAACGTTACTTTTTACAATACTTTTAACTTTTAATTTCCATTATTTTTTAATTTTTAATATTTTCAAAATATTTATTTTTAAATAAATTTTTAAATAAAAATTAATTTTCAATTTTCTTCGTCATTTTTTTTTTAATTAAATATTGTATTTTCAAAATATTTATTTAAATTTATTTAAAAATGTTGGTAAATTTTTTATTAAATATACGTACAACGTTGAGAGAGAGAGAGAGAGAGAGAGAGAGAGATTAATGAAAGCATGTATAATGGTTTGCACTTACACGGAATACAAATGCTATTAGATAAGTCGTTACGTTGTTAGTTTGACAGAATGACGCTTCAACACTTTCAACCGCATGAATGACAAATGACATTCGCGCGTTTTAGATCGTGTTAACTGTTGTTAATCAAGCTGCAAGCTTTCTAAAATATTTCACCTATTAATCACTATTATGAATGGTGGCAATTTAATCAATGTTTATAACGATATAAAAATACGTAATGGGAAACATTGTTGTTATTAAAGATGATCGACCACTTTTCCCTCGAAAATGATTAATAATCATCGTTCTTGTTTTCTGATGTTATAAAATATTATATCGGAGGAGGGGGAATTTGAATCGATACAAAAATCGATCGAGCGAGTTTAAATTTGGATAATAATAATAATAATAATAATAATCTCACGGGATGGAATACGAACGGAAAGTACAGTAAATATCGAGAATCATAAAAACCCTTGAAATTCTCTTGGCGAAACTTTGAAACTTTTAAAAACTCTCGAATATAGCGGACATTTCGAAAGTCTTATAACTTTTGATAGCCCAGAAANATATATATATATATATTTATATTTCAAATAATAAAACGAGGAAAATACAAGAATAAGTATGCATCTATTGCTGCTAATAGGATTAATTCATTTTCCCATAAACATTGCTTTGAATCGAATCAACCTAATTATGCCATTATATATTCCACATATGGTATTATAATTCTATTTATATGATAATATCGAGTTTATCGGATTACGTTTTAATTCGTACGTTTTGGTTCAAGGATTTTAGAAGATTATACATAGAAAAGCATTTCGACGACATTCCTATTTTTTAAATTAAAAAAAATTAAAAATCTCGATGACATGAAATGAGAAGAGAGAGAAAGAGGATCGAGAGTAACGAAGCGAGAAAGAGTGACGGTTACGGAGGATATTTCGTAAAAACGAAGTGAGAAGAAAAGAAAAAGTTGTGTGCGAGAGGGAGGGGGGGGGAGGTGGAGGGGTAGAGGCGGTCGAATGTCGGGAGAGAAAAACAGAAATGGAAGAAGTGCGACAGGTAGGCGGGGTTCCCGCAGGAACAATTCGAGATGTAAATCAATGGCTGATAAGGGTGGCTCTGTCCCACGGGGAAAGAGAAGGTCGCCTTCGTTGGATCCCGCTCAAGTAGAAAGGAGGATAGAGATCCTGAAATCAGAGAGTATAGTACCAGGGAAAGGTGGGTCTTCGTTCCGCGGAAATGCCTCGTTCAAGAATTATTTATTTGCCGAGTTTCAACGAAAATTTTCGTCCTTAAGTGGGTTCTGCGTTTTCTACCTCAATCTTCCATCTTGCTCCTTCCGCAGCCTTCTAATCCTCCCATTTTCTGCCCCTGTCTTAAAGTTGCACTACAAAGGAGGCCCGTGCCATGACTAGGATGTACGGTAAATTTGCGTGTTGGCTCAACTCGATGAAATTGCTTCGTAAGAAAAGAAAAAAAAGAGAGAGAAAAAAAATATAAATCCGTGTAGCAAGAGGAAATCTGAATTTTATCGCGTTAGAAAATTTGATACGCAATTATTTTTATTTTCGTCAACTCGTTTTGCTGCTAAAAGAAGAATTCTCGTCTAAGCGATTATAGAAATTTAGGCTAGAAACGTTTTGCTCACAGTCGGTAAAGTTGCGCGACGAATTGGTTTGTAGCTTATTTCGATCGTAAGTCGAGCACAGTTAGATTCATCTTTTCGAGTGATAAATTTCACATGAAAGGTACCCTTGGATAATCGATATCCGATACTAACGATGCTTCTGTCTGGCCAATCGGCCTAGAGTCACATGATATGTATGTCATGCTACAATAGCTCGAATTGAACGATTTATTGTACAGGCCTACAAACAGCTTTGCATGCGTGACGCGTAGGTAGACATCGACAAATGTCTCGATCGGTAAAAAGATGAAAAAAAAAATAAAATAAAATTATCAATCATGCCTCTTTTTTCTCGCAGGCAGATCATATTATTTTCTTTTTTTTCGATAAAAATGACTCTGTACAAATTGAACGCTTAGATTAGGTTAACGATATATCAAGAGAAACGAGTAAAATATTTCTAGAAGTATTATTTAACATTATGTATTATAAACATCATGGATCACTTTGTTAAAAACTATCTGAATAAATGATATTGTTTTTGGTCGATGAAAACTCCATTTAAAAAAGATGCAAATAACTTGTTCTTTAAAGAGTGAACAATAACCGAGGATGAAATGGTCGAGCAACTCGTGTTTCGAGCAGAGACACACTCTCGGACTACGGAATTTCACACGGCAGTTAACGGATGGTAGATAGTAAGAGCGACGTGTCGCTCAGATAAAACGCAAAACATTGGGGCTGACACGCAATTAGTAGCAGCGCCGACTGCAAATCGTCGTGGCGCTGTACCGCGAGATTTACCGTTCGCTCATCCCTTCTCCCTCTCCTCTTATTTTTATCTTCTTTCCTACTCTAATTTTCTTTGCATCTTTCAAACGCACGCAACTTCGTTCGAATGCGTTTAATTTCTTTTAAAGCGAATCTTTCTCCGCCATCTTTATACTCGTTTCGCATTGAACATAAGAACAAAGGCACGTTCGTATTTCAGTTTAACTTTTTATGTAATTCCTCGTAGCTTGGAAGCTGCATAGTCGTAGATCCATATTTTTAAAACTTGCATCCAATTCTTGTTTTTTTTTTTTTCTTATTATATATACACGTAAAGTGGATCACTATAAGATATATATCGTTCTGTTTAAACGTGAATATCGATTCGAAGTGGTTGACAGATCGTTTCTAAGTTGAACGATAATTAATCACACGTTTGGACGCGTGCTACGTTATTTGATTAATTAGACCGCTAATCTCGCTGTTTACCAGTGCAAAGGGCATAGATATTATTCATTTCGACATATCCTAGTATTGTTCTTAATAGCGAGTCTAAGTAGCATTATATTTTTAGCGAACTAAAGTATTTATATATCGTATTCTGCGTGTCTTTTTTTGAACTGAATTGAAATTTTTTACAAATTAAACTTTTCACTAATTAAATTATGTTCGGAATTGGGATTCGTTATTAATTTCGAATAATCGATGCGGGGAACGCGAATTGCTTTCGATATTATTTAAGAAACGAGACGTTTCTTGACAAAGAATTTGCATTGTTATTACCATCACCATCTGTCATTTATTCTTTCTTTATCGATTCTTCGTTCGGATATCTCGGATATTGCACGAAATAAATCACCACAAATTATTAATTATTCAAAATAATACCCATTGGGGGGAGGGGGAGGAAGCAAAATAAATGCCAATCATTGACCAATGGAGGGGATGATAAATGAAATAAATCATCTCACTTACTCCATCAACGATTGATATAATCATATATGATTTTAACGGATAATTATTTATCTTAAAAGGGCGAGCAATTCGTATCGGGACATTTTCCTCGAATTACAGAATTACGTACAGGCCACGCGTTCGAATTGAATTGAAACGGGTAAATTGATTTTTCTAACCACTTTATAGGGATTTTAAGTTGGAGCATCCGTTCCATGGTAGACCAAGTGGAACGAAGGAGAAAATGGATTTTTTTTTTTTTTTTTTACGATGGAAAGATAAAATAATGGGCCGGTGGATTTGAATGGAGCAACAGCGCATTATCATAGTTTAATTTTCTGTCCTTTCAACCGAGGTACCATCCCATTTTTCATAAAAAGGGGAGCGCAACGGGATAAAGTTTTCGAAGCAATTCTTGTTCTATACGCGCGGGAGGGAAGATTTCTCTCTCGATGCAAATGGTAGTTCTAGGGATTCGTAGAGCGGCCGTAAGGTAAGGGATATCAACGATACGCTTGAAAATTTTCCTCCCTCCCTTGCTTTATTCACTGGTTGGAAAATCAAATCTCGAATTTATTTTATATCCACGGTTCATTTCATCGCACGTCGAACGGGATCAATATTGTTGTGCACAATTCATTCGCGCGATAAAGCAACAGGGGAATAATAAGAAATCTTCTATCTTTTTTTAATGTATCGTGGCAAACATATGA